ATCACTTGTAAAACCATCTGGACCTAGTACCTTTATTGGGGCATAATTCATGTTTCTTGGTACACACACATTTTCTTCTTTACAAATGTTATAACCATTTTATGTTTCTCTAGAATATCATTTTATTTCAGAGATGTGATATAATGAGTTATAAGAAATACATATTTGATCATTCTTATGACCAAATGTGTATTTCCCAGGTATATTTGGTCTTCATCCACAGTTCCTGAAAACAATACTACAGAGTCTTAAAAGTGAAATGGTGTTTTGTCATGTTAATGAGAGACTTTTGGACCCACCCCCACCCAAGGGTGGAGCCTGGAGGTTGAATCAGCCAATCACCTATAGTTTAGTCAGTCATGACTAAGTAGTGAAGCCCTCACAAAACCCACGGGAAGAGCTCCCCCCTCAGCTCTGCCCTGCCTGCTCTGCTCGGTTAGGTCCTGCTTCTTGGTTGGAGAAGCTTCTGTGCTTGGGGAATCAGAACGCTTCCACATGCCACCAAGCCAGGCTGCAAGTTCCTCAAGGATAGAAGCTCCTTTACTTGAGACCTTGCCCTGTGTCTCTCTTCATCTGGCTGTTAACTTGTATCCTTTACAGTATCCTTTATTAAACTGGTAAACGTATTTTCCTGAGTTCTGTGAGCAACTCTAGCAAATTAATCAAACCTGAGGGGGAGGTCGTGAGAACCTCCAACCTGTAGCCAGTAGGTCAGAAGCACAGGGAACTGCCTGGAGCTTGCAACCCGCATCTGGATTTGGGGGTAGATGGCAGCCTTGTAGGATGGAATCCTTCACCTGGGAATCTGGCGTTGTCTCCAGGTAGATAGCTTCAGAATTGAGTTGAGTTTTCCAACACCTTGCTGGTGTTCAAGAACTGCTTCGTGTAAATATGTGTGGGAAGACCTGCTCCTACATATTTACATACACTGGAATTGGGTCTGGGTACCTGAATGAAGTTATACTACTATTACTGTTGTGTATAATACTGTTACTGTTATACATATGTGTAGGGAAGAAATATACCATCTCTTTTGTTGTCAGAGATATTAAAAAAGATTTAAAATTATATGGAATAAATAATAAGCATATATTAAGCAGATGAATGATTTGTCAGTTAGGCGTTGCCATCCCACCTTTCTCTTTTTGGTCTCCTTTAGGTAAACTGAGTTGCTGTCCATATTCCTTCAGGGTCTCTGTCTGGGTACAGCACTGGTTAGGGCTCTTCCCTGGTTTGGCTGCTTTCTATCTCCTCAGAGTTCCAGCCCTGGTCTCTATCAGGTGGACACCCAGAGCTTGTGGCTTTTCCCTTTAGTAAGCAGGGGGTAGTCTCAGAGTTCCGAATGCAGAGTACCTGTTCTTTAACTCTCTGCCATCTAATTCTTTCTCAAAAGTTGGATTCATTTATTCAATTCAAGAATTTATTGAGCATCTGCCTTATGCCAAACACTGTTTTTTATATGAAATAAAGCCGTGAACAAAGCATGAATCAGCCCCTCCCCTCATAGAACTGCCACAGTGGAGATGGAGACAGAAAGTAAGTAACATAAATAAGGAAGATGCTAGGGCTACATGCTGAGGAGAAAAGCAAAGTAAGCAAGAGTAACAAAGGGACTTGGGGGGTGGACTCGGGGGAAGTTGCAATGTTGGATAGGGCATCCAAGGAACGTCCCACTGCTGGAGTTGCATTAGGCAAATACCTGAACACCTGATGCAGGCGAGGGTGTGGCCACCCCAGGAATAGCGCCCCAGGCAGAGGTCAGCCTGGGCAAGGCCCGCAGGAGCATGCCTGCCCATCAGGGATCCCTGGGGAAGACAGCCAGAGCAGAGGGACAGGAAGAGGATGAAGAGGAGGCCATCGGGCCCAAAAGGAAAGGGGGGTGGCCTTGCTTTAGGTCCTTCACGGACCTTGACTGTGAAATGGGCCGCTGGAGGGTTTTGGGCAGAAGAGTGGCATGATCCAGTTTACCTCTAACAGGCCCACCCCACCTGCTGTGCTGAGAAAGACCACAAGCCATCCAGGCCAGAAAGCAGTTAGGGAGCTGCATGAACTGTGGCCTGAGTATACATGCTTCAGGCTGCCACGTCACTAGATAACCTGACTTGATCTAAGGATAAAATGTTGACTGACTTTTGTAACCCAGGTAGACCTTTGTTTACTCACCTGTGTTAATGAAACCCAGTGCTGTGAAAATGACCAGCACAGGGCAGTCAAGTAAACAAAGCCCCCCACATCGTTCATGCCCTGAGAATGCTCCTGCACTGCCTAGAGTCATTTTTTCAGGGAGACATTTCTCTCCAGACTCCATCCTGTTCTCTTGAGAACCAGCTTGTTTTTCTCTTTCATATGTTATTAATCTTGTAGTGTCTTCCTGCTTATTTTCATTGATAAAGTGCTCAGAACTAAAGCTACAGTTTACCTTTAGCAAGAGCACAAAACCAGTGGCTGCTATGTTAACTTTTCCCTACCTTTATTTTCATAAGCCTCAATTAAAAGAAAAGCTCCTATTCCTTTATGTTTTTGGGAGTCACTTCAAAAGGTAGCAAGCTACAAAGAAACAAATCATACAGGATGCAAACAACATCAAATATAAAAAGAAAGAAATTGAGTTCAAAGTTTGGGTCATTTGTATTCTATTTTTGTTTCCATAAATGAAAAAAAGCATAAATGTGTGTGTGTGTGTGTGTATACACACACAGGATTTTCAGGATAAAAGCATTAGTGGTGAATACATTACTAAATATCCTTATATCCCTGATGGATTTCAGTACCGCCAGTCTTTTTCTAGTTGCAAGTTTCTCAATTTGTTATTTTATCTCCCAGCAATATGTGACATGAGTTCTAGAGTATCAGCCATCTAGGCTGGGCTGGATGCTTTGGACCAACAACAGAGTTTGCTAGAATATGCTTTCTATCCCCTGTCACTCATTCTGATTTAATAAAGCTTGCAAACTTTTTTGAAAGTGTTTTGCCTAAATGATACATTTTCTGAGACCTTGGATGCTTGAAAATATTTTTTTGCAGCCTTTACTCTTGAATAAATACTTGATTAGGTATAAAATTCTTGAGTCAGACTGTCCTTGTCTTAAAATTCTGGGTGTTAAACACCTGTCATTTAAGTCACTGTAATATAATGTGATCTTAGTTGCATTAATGATAAACCTCTTCTCCACTCTGACACTTCATTTTAATTTTTTCATTTATTTTAATACTTGAAATTTGAAGGAAAAAGAAGTCAGTTACTTCTCAGCATTGTTCTAAGAGCTGGTTGTTTATTTGGCCTTTTAATCGCAGTCATTTTTCGTATCTAGAAAGTTCTTTTCTCTCATGTTCATGGCCATTACTTATGATCTATGTGTACTTTGTACTTCCCTTTGGAGGATATTTTATTCATAGTCTGAATCTCTGTGATCTCCACTCCATCTCTATTTTCTTAAATTTCATCTCTTTTTTTCTCCCTTTTCCTTATTTTCTCTGCTTTCTGAGATTACTTCTCAATTTTGTACTCCTAAAGTTCCGTTTCCAGTGATGTTAAGTCAGCCTTTCATCAGTTTGGTTAGGACTGTGTTTTTAGCTCCTGAGCCATTTCATTTCATCAACACCCCTTCTCATCTTTGTACTTTCTTGTTTAATAATAAAGTAATATAAATGTCATTTAGAATAAAAGGCAAATGTTTTCTGACAAAAATCTTCTGTTCGTGAAGGTAAACCCCTTTCTGATGAGAAATTTTCCTTTTGAGCCATTATCCTTTTCTTTCTCCTGTGACCTGGGCTATTTCCCCCAGGGCCTTAAAGTTCACTTTTTCCTTGTTACCTCAGGCTTGAACAAGGAGTAATCTAGGTGGGCCTGATGTGGAGCAGTTTACAGGAAAACATCCTGTCTGTCTCCTTTCCCTTACTTATTCTGGGGTCTCTTCTTCCCACCACTGTGCCTTCCAGTCTCACTATCTCACTTAGGCGGCAGAATAATGTCTCGCCCACTGACTTAGAGCTGCCTCTCAACAACTGAGCCCACTCTGCGCTTAGCACTGCACTTGGCACATGGGTATGGTTAATAAAATGCTTTTGGAAAATCATCAAAAGGAAATGCCCTTGGGAGAGGGTGTGATATTGAAAGCGTCTCAAAACTGTGATAATCAGTGTTTTGTGAACAAATCTCTTGCATGATGACCAAGCATTAAAAAGCCCCATGAGTGACTCAGAAAGTTTTTGAGTCATGAATTTGATCTCAGCGGAACTATATTTTGCTCTGAGCTATTAACATGCAACAATAATTTGTATTTTCTTTAATCCTTGGTTGTGTTTTCCTGCCTCGTCTCCCTCTCCTTTCTGCCACCTAGAAAGCCTGGTCTTCTTGTTCGTTCAAGAGAGGTTCCTGATTTAGAAAAGACTAACACTTATCTTTACACTTAGAAAAAGTGGAGTCATACCGGTTTTGAACCCTGAAGCTATGGTGTATGAGATCTTACTGATCTTTTTTTTTTTGATTGGGAGAAAAGTACAGAACCTTGTAGAAAACAGATAATACTGTGGGTTATACTCTTCATTTTGTCAGGACTAAAGATAAAGATAAAAAAAGAATCAAAGACTTAAGATTATCCGATTTGTTCCTAATCTACTCTTACCATGAGCTTTACCCTGAGCTACTATCAGTATTTTTCAGAGATGAAATCCTCTCAAACAACTAGGTAACTTAGAAACAGTGCTTTAAATCAGAGATGAACAAATGAGAGACCTCGCTAAACCGAGCATCCCCCGCCAGACCTTCCTCTATGGTGGCTTAAAACAGGCCTCCTTTAATGAGAAAGTCGGTTTACCAGTGAAATTAAACCAGTCAAGAATCAGAATGAAGGGCTACGTCCAAGGTATACAGGATAGTTTCATCTTCTGCAAGAACTTCTTGTGCCTTCAGCCCTGGCAGCTGTACATCAAATGGTGGAGTGCAAACATTAAAACCACTCATTGAAAATAATGGGTCTCTATTTCATTTCTCTTTCCAGGTTTGAGATTTTTAAGAGCTCTCAGACTGATCCAGTTTTCAGAAATTTTGCAGTTTCTGAATATCCTTAAAACAAGGTAAGATTTTCTTTCTCACATTTTCCCGTCCTTCCAGCCCCCAGTGCCAAGTTGTAAATATTAGGAATGTTTGCTTTCATCACAATAAAGTTAGAGTTCTTATTCGCAGACAGAGTGTTCTACCCGAGAGATCTGGAGGAAGCCTGGAGAAGGGTGTGGATCACTCATCTGCAGGGCTGAGGACTGTATGGCAGAGAGAGAAACAGTGGTGCATATGGGGGAGTAGAGACAGTTTTGGGGATCGAGTGGGATTGCTTGGAAATCAGACACAGCATCGTGGCAAGGGACACTATGGATGAGCAACACATCTGCTCATTGATTGGGAAGTCCTTGCTCCCCGGTTCTGAATCACCCCTTTATTACATCACTAAATAAGAAATTGAACCTGGATGTAAAAGCAATGGAAGCAGTGCTCTTTGAGAGGCAATCACAAACCTCATGTGGCAAACAGAAAATCATTTCATTTCCAAGTACATTTTAGATGTTCACTTTATAGCCAGTGTAGTCCCTGGGGCTTGCTCTGTGAATTGCCTTTTGGGGAATACCTAAAAACCTCCGGCCAAATGCACCATGACTGCTTCTGTTAACTGTGTTATGATCTGGAAAACACTACTGGACCAGGAGGAAAAACCCCCCAGAGATCCCTTTCCTGCGGGTTTGCAGAACTGGCCTGAAACCAAGGCTGCCTTGATGAATAAACTAATAAAAGAGGTTAGAGGCACTCTAATGGAGAATAAGCACAGGTTATAAATTTCTCTTATAGGAAATTACACTTTAAGAAGCTCACTGCTAATGTTCCATTTCCTCCTAGGTTGACGTGTTTGATAAATAATTGAAAACACAACACCTCTGTATTTTGTGATTTATAATGAATATACCTGTATTTGGTGGGGGTGCCTTAGATTCAGTGCTGTTTATCCAGTAACTGAGGCTGGGACTCAGCTTCCCAAACTGTCACATCCAACAGATGTGATGGGTTAGTGGCTTTCCTCTGGATCTTAGTGTTTTTTTATTTGTTTATTTTGGTTTGTTTAATTCCAAATTGGCTTCCTCTGGCTAAGTATTCATCTATGTGAACGTGGGGTACATTCACATTCTATTAGCCAAGTTAAGAAGAAAATGAGTATATGATGCTGTAGGAAGCTTCTATAGTATGTGTCACCACCCTTCACTGTCCTTATCCTGAGGTCAGAATTTGTGAGCACTCCATCTAATAGCATGTGATATTCTTAATATAGAGAGAATATTATTATTCTTCATATTTTTTTCTGAGCAACAGTAACCATTTCTACCTTTTTTATGCCTCTTCTATGCAATGGACTCATATTACTCTTGAAATTAAAATCATCAGCAAAGCTAGCAATCCCCCATAATTACCTACATCACAACTGCTCCACTAGACTGCATTTTTTAAGGTAGAATTGGTGCCAAGCACAGGGCTGTATTTGAGAGACTTTTTTTCTTTTTTTGTGGGGATGGTGTTCTGTGAAGTCATCTTCACTCTCTAACGTAGTATAGGGCCTCTCTCCCCCTGCTTTGAGTGTGCCCCATAAATAAGGGGGATTTTAATTCTCTGACAGTAGTGTTTCTAAAAAGGTGCCATTACTCCAAGGAATAATGTGGAGAGAACTGGGCTGTTACCTTCTTTGTATTCCATGTGGATCCTTTTTGGACTTAAGAGAATGGTGAGCCACTTGAATGACTTATGCCAAGAAACCCACCAGTGTTCCATTCCTTGGGAAAGATTCCTCTCCTTTGGATGCAGGATATACACTGCAGTCCTGGTGAACCGTCCATCCGGTAATGCTACAGTTATGGGCAGTTCATGGCACAGGGGAGAAGGCTGAAGCTGAAGCAGCCGGCCGGGAAATGAGGTGACTCTGAACCAGAGAGAGTGGCCCTAGGGAGGAGCCCTGTGATGGTGGGCTGCCGGGGTTCTGCCATCCTGAGCCCCAGAAAGCATTTCCCCGGTACCCCACTTCCCACTGAATCAAAGTCCTGTTGTCCAAGGGGCCTTTTCATCACAACCCCACAGCCTGGATTGTCCCAGTTCCTGTTGCTCATACAGGTGAGTGAGTTCATTCACAAGCCTGACCTGAGCCCTGGTTTGCACCAGCAGTGAGGTGGTGCCAGGACAGTCCTGCTGTCCCAGCTCAGCAGCAGGGAGAGCCAGCCTGAGGGTGGGGGGTTGGGGCTGAGACACCCACAGGATGCCTAGTGGTGGGAGGCACAGAGGAGAGTCATTCAGCCGGGTGTGGCATGAGTGTGGGGAACTCAAGGAAAGGGGGCACCTTAGGTAAGTTTTGTAGAAGACTAGGTGTCATCCTGGTAGGGCTGGGTTGGGCATGGGAGGGTTAGAGAGGGTGGGGCTGACTGCCAGTCATGGAGGCTGCAAAAAGCATGTGGAGGGGAGAACTTAGCACTTGGAGGAGTTCGTGAGTCGTCCTGGTTCCCCTGAGGCTGGGGCTCTGGGATGGCGAAGAGAAGGTGAGGGTCGGAGGGCAGGGAAAAGCCAGATCACGAGGCACAGATTAAAACTTGATCTAACTGTAAGAACCACAGGGGCTTTGGAGCAACTCTGTGAGCCCATTCTTTCTCCAGGGGTCTGGCCAGTCCCAGCTCCACCCCAGCACAGATCTGGAAGCACGGAGAAGTGGAAGCCGTGGTTTCTGTAGGTCTCTGGACTCTAAGAGATCTCCTGGTGATTCCTCTGTACTCTCGTGCTTTCACAGTGACCTTTCAGGAGGATGGGTGGAGCCCCGTGATCACCTTTCAGGGGATTCTGTCTGGCTTTCTCTGGTGGCTAATCCCCCCCAACACCCTCCAGTCTGTGGTATTAAGTAGGGATGGAGACATTGCAAAGGCGATGTGAAATAATCATTAGAAGTTGCGGTTTCATTTTCTGTTCTTCAGCTGCCTTGTTTAGCAAGAGCTGGGAGAAACAGAGCAGAGAATTCTATGGGTGTGGGGTGTAGGGAGAGAAAAAGATAGAGAGAGAGGGGGAATTAAGGGGGCAGCAAAAGGAAACAAGTGAGCAGGATGACAGAGAAAACACAGATCAAAGGGGCAAATCACAGGTATGGGGCAGCATCAGGGCTATTCACCAACCAGCCGGCGGGCCTCAAGGGCTCGTGTCCTGAAGAGGGCACAATGAAGGGGACACCAGGAGATTCCATGTCATTTTCTGAGCTCTGGCAGTTCCTCAGTTGCCCTACAAACTGGCGAGCAGACTCACAGGTGAGAAGACACCTTTTCTACATCAGAGCAGAAGCAGCAGCTCTGTATAAAGGCTGTCATTCCACCTCTCATTTAATGAGGTCAGTATTGATGGTGAAAATATGGGTCACCTAATAGATCTTTGAAAAAAATGACAGTTGCTTTAGTGTTTCCTCTAATTATTAAAGTACAATATGCCCACTGTGAACACTTCAACAGTATTGAAAAGCATAAAGGATAAAGTAAAATCTCTCCAATGTCACCAGTGGTTGAGATAACCCTTACTACTATTCTACCACAAAACTGTTATTTCCCATATAGCATTCCATGATGCACATATCTTGGGGGGATATTTTGGGAACTAAAATCACTGTACTACATATATGACCCCAGAAATGGTTCCAAGATTAAGTTTATATAAAGAGTATTCAATGCAGAGACCTCGGGGATTGTCTAGGTAAGGGCCACATCACAAAGGCTCTCAGATGCCATGGCTTTGATTCAGAAAGCAAGAGAGAATTGAAGGCTTTAAACAGGAGAGGGAGGTGGTCAGATTTACACTTTAGAAAGACCTCCTAGTCCAACTGTGTAGGGGACTGGTTTGAAGCATCTAAGGCCACTGACCACTAGAGCAGCTGCAGGGCAG